CAATTCATGCCTCATCAAAGCGTCTAGTCTACAAAGCATCATCACTAGCAACCGTTGAACTGGGTTTCCATGAGCACACCGACATGAAACAATAGTGAAACAATTCGAGTAGTGTGAAACAATTCGAATAGATCCAAACCTAGCTAGAAGATTTCGGAAATTAAATTCCGAAAGGAACAATTTGACTGCCTTTTTCGGTCAAATTCAATGCTGAATGAGCAGCACCACGACCAAACATATTCAAAGACTTTTTCTTAAGACACATCAATCGAATTAACCTTCGTCAGATGCATAGGGTTAACGGACAAGAAAGGCGTTGAATTCATAGTTTCAGATTTTGCGTTTATGTTTTGTCTGTGCAGTGGTTGAACGTATTTGGATGCGTAGACATAAATAGTTTAAAATTATTAAGCTAAAAAAATTCTGCTTTAAACTGCAAAAAAAATGAAGGGAGAGTGCATTCAGAAAAACATCTTGCATACTTGCAGTATCGAAATAAACTATCAACAGATAAAAATTATTCAAATGCACTTATAACGTGTAAAAATTTAGTCTTCATGTACCGCCGGTTTACTCCGGCTTCCGATTCAGCCGTTCTCTATGAGCAATACATCAAACCCAACGGACATATTTCTGCTCATTGTGTCACTCGGATTTTTACATACTGAATTTGAATCATATGAGCATATGGCAAGCCACTTTTGAGTTTTCTCTTCATCGTCAACTCAACTGTTTCGACAAACTATGACCTAATGGCGCCTTCACGGTTCTTGAGGAGTTTCTTAGTTTCATAGTCAATAGAAGAAGCCAATTCGCTTGTGTTTTGACGGTGCAAGTGAGCGATACCTGACGCGCATTGTGGGATGTGAGGTTCGACACTTGACAACATTTCGTGCTCTGTGAATGAGTGGTGCATGATCCACTTCGATCGCTTCATCGCCTTCGCCGCTCTTTGAACTGTTACTCAAACCTGTGATCATTTTGGGCCATTCTATAATTATCGACCTGAAATTGGAACCTTTGCATTTGGA